TAAGGCACAAACTATTGTAGTTTCTTCAAATTGTCCCTTTGCTCAGCTGGTTGTGGTGCACTGCAGGTGTTCGACAAAATGACTCACCCAAAGTCTTTGTTGCACTGTGTGCCTAATTTTTTTTTTTTAAAAGTCCTGGCCAAAACGAGCAGGCCAAAAAAAAAAATAGAGGAGAAAACCGAACTGCAATTCATGGGCTTTCAACAATATTCTTAGGCAGTATTCGTGGGCTTTAAAAAGTCTTTAAACATGTTTTTCTTTCTTATTTAAACAAGGATTACAAAAGGATTTTAAAAGAGTTTTTCCATTTAAACCCCGCACTTCATTGTTCACCCCATATTCTAAGTTCACTCCAATTTCTAATTCAAATTTTCACAATTCTAAGAAAACTCTATTATCTTCCCAAACTACCCCTAAATACACACCCCCAAATTTGTTTTGTATATTCTGTTTTCATATTTATTTAGGGTGAATGTAACTGGAATTTAATCAATTGTGGATGGAGAAGCAGTGGATGATGAAGGTTGTGGATGGTTCAAAGTGAAAAAGGTGTAATTTTTTTCTTTCTCGATTGTCCCATTTTCTTCCATTACCAACATTAACATCCAGTATGCCAAGAAAAGTTTAGGTAGCGGCTTCGGTTCTTTCTTTTTGAGTGCATAGAAAACACTTGAAGCTGCTACCTGCTAAAACCCCTTTGCTCTCTCTCTCTCTCTCTCTCTCTCTCTCTCTCTCTCTCTCTATATATATATATATATATATATATCTCTGTGAAAAACCAATACTCTCTCAGAGTGGCACACACCAGGCAATGGTAGAGATCACTAAGACTAGAGACTAAGCCCGAGAGGTTACGGTAGCGGCGGATCCAGGAATTTTTCAGCGGAGGTGCAATTTTAAAAAGAGCTAAAAAAAAAAAAAAAAAAAAAAAAAAAAAAAAAAAAAAAACTAAACATCCTTATCATTTAAACAATACTAATGTTATTCATATTAATTAAAAAATAACATTACAATTAACCTACAATTGTTGCCGACAAGGTTTCATATCATGAAAACGTCGCATTATATTTACATTACTAATACAAGAAAAAACATCTTTCTCAATGTAAACAACCAAGCTATCACTCAACCATTGATTTCTCATTTTGTTACGCAGTGGTGTTTTCACAATATTCATAGCTGAAAAAGCTCTCTCAACCGAAGCAGTTGCAACGGGTAAAACTAAAGCCAATGTAAGAAGTAAATACACATAGTTGTATATTCTATTCCTTCCTGTATTCACCAATTTTTCTGTCAGATCAGTAATTCCGTTCAATGATGAAAACTCTGTGCTGCTATGCATATCAACAATATAAAGCCCAAGTTGATCTTCAAGCTTCATGAGGTCTCGGTCATTAAATTCTTGAGGGTAAAATTTAGCAAAACAAAGTATTTTTTGTATTTCAAAAGCTGCAAAATTATAAGCCGGACTCAAACATGCCATACAAAGAAGTAATTCAGTATTTACCTCAGTGAAGCGATTATTCAATTCCACTAGTTGCTTATCAATGATAGTAAGCAATAGGTTCACACGATAATAATGGCGGTTTGTGATTTTCTGAGCTTTACGTCTTGATCTCTCTTGTGGTACAAATAAATCATCCATGTTAGGAACGTCAATATCATTTTTGCCACAAAACATGCTTGGCCAAGAAAATCATCAAAGTCATAATCCCTTACGGATTGTAGCTTTTGCTTACATGTTTGGACCAACATCATCGCATTCACAATATCTTGATCTTTCTTTTGTAATGCCTTCGACAAATCATTTGTGATCCCAATATAAATCTCATCAAATACAAGTGAAACACAAAGTCAAAAGTTTGTATTTCTTTCAACAACCTATTTGCTTCACCTAGATTATCTTGGTTGACATCATCAACAATCCATTCAAGCACCTTCACCACCGGATGAAACATAGTATTAATACTAAGTAAAGTATCATAATGTGAGTTCCAACATGTATCACAAGGACGTTTGAGAGTAGTCTCTTGATTTAACCCTCGCCCCGTTTCAAGATCATCAATTTCAAGAGCTTTCATAATATCTTTTTGTTGTTGCTCTCTAAGTGCATCACGACGCTTACACGATGCTCCAATAATATTAACGACACTACTAGCCGTTGTGAAGAAAGTAGTAATGTTTTCATTTCCCTTTGCTACGGCTACAAGAGCTAGTTGTAGTTGATGTGAAAAACAATGAACATAATATGCTTGAGGATATTCTCTCAAAATTTATGTTTTAAGACCATTGAGCTCACCTCTCATATTACTAGCGCCATCATACCCCTGTCCTCGTAGCCTGGACATGCTCAAATTTGTTGAAGAAATCAACTGCTCAATTGCCTCTTTCAATTTGCTACTAGTCGTATCAGAGACATATTGGACACCTACAAACCTTTCAATTACTTGCCCTTTTTTGTTCACATAACGCAACACCACCACCATTTGCTCTCTTATTGAAACATCACGTGATTCATCTACCAATATAGAAAAGAATGCATCGTCCATATCACTAATAATTGCATCAATGGTTTCAGCGGCACAAGAGTTGACAAGTTCTTTTTGAATGTTAGGAGCAATATACTTGAGATTCCCTGGAGCGTTCTCAAACACAACGGTTCGAACTTTCTCATCATGATCGGCAAGAAATTGCAAAAGCTCCACATAATTACCCTTATTGCTAGATGTTTCGCTTTCATCATGGCCACAAAAAGGAAGACCTTGTCGCAATAAATATCTAGTGCAATCGAGTGTGACAGTTAATAGAATGCAATAATTAACACGAGCTTGGTCTGTCTGCTTGATCACAATGGTTTCAACTCTTTGCTTCTGATTCAATAAATCTGTACAATGTTGTGTAGCTTTATTGTGAAGACTTCCAACTTGTCCAACATGGTCCCTAAAATTCTCGGGTCCCTTCCTCCAATTTTTAAACCCTTTCTCAGTGAAGACATCGCTTCCAGCCTTTCCTTGTTTATCAAAGTCGCATTTAAAAAGATAACAATGGAGACAAAATACAACATCTTTCTCTTTACTATACTCCAACCAAACAAATGAATCAAACCATTTCACAAGAAAACGTCGATACTCTCCCCCATAAGTGTTTGAGGCATGTCGTTTTGGCTTTGAGGCTGACAAGGTCCCCTTTGCATATAGGCTCTTCGGATTTCTTATCGAAAATTGGGATTATAATAAGTCATTGGAGGTCTAAGTCCAGGGTCTGCAAGAAGATTAGCCAATATTTCATCCAACTCAGTGACCTCCGATCGTTTTGGACTACCCGAATTATTCAAGGGAGGCTGTGAAGTAGGCAGATTATTTGAAGGTTGGTTTGAACTAGCCGAATTATTTGAAGGAGGGTTTGAACTAGCCGGATTATTTGAAGGAGGATTTGAACTACTCGGATTATTTGAAGGATGATTTAAACTCTTTCTTTGAAAGTACCGTTCCATAACTGTACAATTAAATAAATAAATCAATATCAAATTATCAATTAAATAAATAAATAAAAATTAATTATACCTTGAATAACATGTCACGTAGCCTGGTATTCACTCGAGTTTGCTACTGATCTTACTAATACAAAGAGCTAAATAACCACACACACAAAAAAATTAAAAAAAGAATAAACAAAATTGGAGTTTGCTCAAAGAAAAAAAAAATGCATTCAACTTACTTTGGATTGGCCTACTCAAGAAGGAAAAAAAACGCAGGATTCTTGTGATGCACATACACTTTGATGAAATTGGGTGATGTTAAATTGGTCTTTTATAGAGAGAATTCTCAATCCTACTTAATTAAGGAATTCCCAAAATCCAATTAAATAAAGAGAACTCTTAATTAAAACCCAATTAAGTAAGGAAATAAAACCATTTGAAATGCCCACAAAAAAGCCCACGTTTACAGCATCAGTTTCCGTTTTTTTACTTTTTTTTATTTATAAAAAGGCAGCTCATTTTAAAACAGACTGGTCCAAAACGACGTCGTTTTGGCCAGGCTTGGTTAAAAAAAAACATGCACACAGCAGCAGCGCAGGCAGCGCCCAATCACTTGCGCATTTCATCGAACACCTTATGTGCGTCGCTGGTATGAAGTAGAGGTGCAACTCCAGCACCTCTAATGGAGATTTCCGGCGACCGGAGGTGCAAGTGCACCTCCTTGCGCCTACACAGTTCCGCCAATGGTTACAGGTGTCCATATGTTTGTGTTTTTCTAAAACTTAACATGAAGAGTAGCGGGGTGTGTATATAGATGTATTAGGGTTAAGTCTTAAGTTGGATCACTTTTTTGTCTTTTTACACAATAATAAAACTTAAGAGCTTAATGATTTAAGTATTAGGGTGAACAAAAAAAGTGTGGGTTTTAAATAGAAAAACTCTTTTAAAAGAAGGAAATCAATTGGTTTACCATTGCTGTGTTATCCTTCTTCACCAAAAGTAAATATGATGTGCTGCGTTTTATTTTTTTTTGCTTTCGTGACCAAAAGCCAATTTGTTTTTTGTTTTTTGTTTTTTTTCGTTTCTCTTTTTCCCCTTTTTCGCAATATGCTTTTTATTTTATTTTTTCTGATTCGGCTCTTATGATCAGTATTAGTAGCAAATTCTACACAACTTGAGGTCTGATCAATTACGATTTGTTTATTTTATTCTATTATTTTTAATAAAGCTTTTAGCCTTTCAAAATTTCACTTCCGCTAAAAAATTCATGGTTTCAATTGCTTGTTCATAGTGCTCAGCATCTACTCACTATGATACATCTATAGTGAGTGAATCCCAGCTGCATCATGCAATGCCGCATACTCAGGTTGGATACGCCCACACGCCACTAGACATTGCAGACGATGAAGTAATAGCCTTTTGGTAGGGAGTGAAGATTCAGATGACTTGGTGACTGTCGCCCAAGCTGTGCACTGGTGGTTTGACCCAATTTTTTCAAAGGCGAGGCATTTTTAGTAGCGCTATGCGAGGCGTAAGCCTTGAAGCGTTGAGCCGTAAGCCTTTTGAACATTAATTTATTTTAATAAGAAAAATTTATGAATAGTACAATACAATTAAATTGTACAGCTAATTTTTATTGAACCATAATAATCTTTTAAATATAATTAAATATTTGATAAGGGTAGAAATTAGGGTTGTACATAATACATATATAAATATATATATATAATATTCAATTTGTTAATATATTAATAAATAAGAAAAAAAAAAAAAAAAATAGAAAACGGCTGGAAATAGAAAAGGCAAGGAATATTGGGGATAGAAGGGAAGGAACAAGTGGGGGGAAAAAAAGGGAAAGAAAAAAAAAAAAAAAGAGCGTGTTTTTTTTTCTTCAAAACACTCCAAGTGAAACGACGTTGTTTCACTTTAAGTTTTTTTTTAAACACTTCAATCCAAACGACATCATTTCGTTTGTAAAAACCTAAAAAAAAAGTTGTCTTCCTCGCGGTATATATCATCTTCCTCGCAGAACCGCACCGAATTTGCAGAAGCTGAAAATTCCTTCCGTTTCAGAGTGTCCAGATCTCGAGCGCCTTGCTCCGCCTCGCTCCGCCTTGCTCCGCCTCGCTCCGCCTTGCAACGCCTCCTCACGCCTTCTCCGTGCTAAACGTGCAACTCGCGAAGCAGCAGACCGCCTCGGGCGTTTTCCGGCAGCCTCGCTACGAAGTGCGCTCCGACGCGCGCGAAAGCATGCCTTTGAAAACACTGACCTACCAAAGTTTTACAATATTGTTTCGCGTCTTTTGAAGAAGCCAGGAGGTGTATTTACTGTTTGCTGCTACAATGACATTGAAGTTGGTCCAACATTTGATCCTATTATGAAGCGATTTCATGACACAACACTTCCCTTCTGGGACAAGATCAGCACTATTTGATGGCTACAAGACGCTTCCATTTCTTTTTGAAAGTGTTGGTTTCGCATCCGATTGCCACTGGACATTCCAAAGAAGCTTTCATGTGAAGGGTTTGAAGATGTTATCTGGAAAGGTTGTTAAAGAGTTTGAAAGTGCTTCAGGTGGCTCCAAATGGGTCAGGTGTGTCATCTACAAGGCTTTTATATGCTCGCTGGAAAAGTTAGGCCATGAAGCCTGTGATAGGGTGGTGTTTGGGAAAGTTTCTTAAAGCACGTAAATTCTTATATGTACATATGTGTGTGTGTGTGCGCGCGTGCTTAAAAAAATAGTGAGTGCTTAAACATTCCTTTTGGGTCAGAAATCATAATCACCTGGAAATAGTTTGATTCAGTTGAATTTCCAACTTGCAAACAAATGAAAATATCACACCCATGCAGGTAGAGATGCAAACCTATGACATAACATTTTCTGTGGTATCTACAATGTTGATTTCTTGGACTGCAGTCATCATTGGAATAGGTTCAGAAAAAGCAAAGTTCTGTGGGAGCTTCAGAAATAAAAAATATACAAAATAAAAACAACCTGTTCACTGATATTAACCTTGTCCAATCAGCGATAAGTAGTCCAAAATTATGAATGGTGCAGCAAACACACTAACATAAGAAACGGTAGTCAAATTCAACAAATATATTTGATGCTGTTTGGTATCAATCCACTGTGAGACTTTAAATTATTGATAAGGAGGGCTTTGATTTTTAGACTACTAGTCAAAGAGAAAATAAAATTGCTTTTGCTTTCTCTTGCAACCCTTCAAATTCATTAGTTGAAACGAAATTGGACTTGGCTTCTAACCTAATTTTCTGTCTGTATCTTAAATTCCAAACTAATTACCCCAGAAAAGAAATTGAATAAAAAAATTATGACTTAAAAGACTTAATTGGGGTTGTCTATGCGTCAGCTTTAGTGAGTTAAAAGGTGCCTCATCTTCTTCTCTTGTTTCATTATTTCATACACAGAGAGAGAGAGAGAGAGAGAGAGAGAGGAGAGAGAGAGGAGGAGAGAGAGAGAGAGAGAGAGAGAGTGTGTGTGTGTGGGTGTGTGTGTGAAAGAAAATGGCAGGTTTGTTTGACAAGCAAGCAGAGGTGTACTTGGATGGAAGGCCAACTTATCCCAAGGAATGGTATTCCAAGTTAGCAGCTCTCACCCCTCACCACACTCTAGCCTGGGATGTTGGAACAGGCAATGGCCAAGCCGCCATAAGTGTTAGTATTACAATACTACCCCCTCCCCTCCTCCTCTTCTTGTTCTCTCTTTTTGGAGCATTGTTTTTAATTTTGATTTTATATATAAACACTAAAACCTATAAATTAAATTGAAGGAAAAAACCCAAAAAAGGTCAGATGCCTTAATTTTTTAGTTTAGTGGGGTGTGAAATACAATTACTATCCTTGCAAAGTTAAATGGGGTTTTTCTTAGAGTTTGAGTATTGTAAGGTGTTTTTTTTCTATAGTTTAAGCCGTATTTATGGGCTTATATGTGAAACTCTCTTTAGTTTTTCTGGCTTGTTTACTAAAGACTTCCTAAGACTATATAAAATAGTATTGGTGGATTTAGCTTTATGCTCATACACTCTAAATGTGAAGGGGGAAATACAATATAACAGACTAAATAAATAACATAATTTTGGAGATGTGAAGCCCGAAGGCTACACAAACTTACTTGATACAAACTTCAATAAGATTGATACTCTTGATACACACTTAATGCACACTTGATACATACACACATAACATAGAGTGGATACGCCGCCTATTTATAGGCCATAATATTAACTCAACATTAAACATAACCATAACCACTATACCCACTCAACTTCACTTTAACTTCAACTCATAAACTAGACATAATAGCTAAATCCTTTAGATTTTAACTTTTTATTTCCTTAACTTTTGACCTTTGAAATTACCCCAACAAATAGAACAAGATAGAAAATCAGGTTCTTACCTCCTCAAACATAAATTTTGTAACATACAAATATAACTAATTATTGATGAAATCAAATCTTGATTGAATTTTTTGTCTAAATGTGCAGTCTGACAACATAGCATGTTAACAGATTTTTTCTGACAAAGAGCAGCGAAGCAAACATCGTCATTCGCTAACCAAAAAAAAAAAAATATATATATATATATATATACACACACATAGATTTATGCACTAAATTGTTTCTTAAACAGGTTGCCGAACACTATGAACAAGTGATCGCAACCGATGTGAGTGAATCCCAGCTGCAGCATGCAATACCGCATCCTCGGATTCGATATGCCCACACGGCATTGAACATTACAGACGAGGAAGTAATAGCCTTGTTAGGTGGTGAAGATTCAGTTGACTTGGTGACTGTGGCTACAGCTGTGCACTGGTTCGACCTACCAAAGTTTTACAATCTTGTTTCACGTCTTTTGAAAAAGCCAGGAGGTGTATTGGCTGTTTGGACTTACGGTGGCATTGAAGTAAGTCCAACATTTGATCCTGTTATGAAGCGATTTCATGACACAACACTTCCCTTTTCGGACAATCGAGCTCAGTATGCGTTTGATGGCTATAAGACACTTCCATTTCCTTTTCAAAGTGTTGCGGGTTTCGGATGCGAAGGGAACCCGTTGCCACTGGCCATTCCTGCGAAGCTGTCGTTTGAAGGGTTTTTGAAGTTTCTGAGGTCATGGTCTGCAGTCACTACAGCCAAGGACCAAGGTGTGGATTTGTTACCTGAAAAGGTGGTTAAAGAGTTTGAAGCTGCTTGGGGTGATTCTAAATTGGTCAAGTCTGTCAGCTACAAGGCTTTTATGCTTGCTGGAAAAGTTAAGCTGTGAAGCCTGTGGTATTATTATTATGCATATTGAATTTGAAACAGAGAGTAGGAAAGCGGGGATTGAAGAGGGTGCGTAGGAGTTGCTTAAATAAAACATGTAGTTTGATATTCTGTTGAGTTTCCGACTTAATTGCAACAAATAAAATATCACACCCTCAAGAATATCTATGACATCAGGTAAAAAAATTTCAGCGAACTCGAGAATAATATCCTCCATAAAAACAATGTGTGCGTCCTCAATCCAAGAGATTTAACGCATACTTTAGCAAAAGAAAGACTTCAAAGAGTTACAGAAGCAAAGCTGTTCATAGCAAACAAAAGGATCTCCTTCCACAACTTTCAATTGAAACATTGAATTTCACAAGTGTTTGAAGCCCTTGGGAACAATATAATTTCCATCAATACCTCTAACGCGTCATCAAACTCCATATCGAAAGTCAAAACTTTCAACTCATTGAGGAGCTGACCGTGCTCCAACAAATACTCTACCATCTCCATCTCATCTGACCCTCCCTTGAATCCCGATATGCAAATAGTCTTGAGGCATGAAGACAAACAAACAGGCACAAGCTCGGGTGGAGACCATTTATGTTTCAACTCATCTTCATCATGAGCAGCATCGCATTTAACGTTCTAAAGATAGTTCAAAATATGTGAGTCAAATAAAAATCCTTGAAAACTAAATACACGTATATTTGAGGGACATCTTGTAGGACCCCTCCACTTGTATTCCAATTATTCGAACTGTCAATTTTCTAGGTATTTCTTCAAAGATCATCTTTGCAAAAAATCAGTTGAATCCACAACCATTAAACCACTCAATTAAAAATTATTTTATTAGTCATAATTAGATATCTTAATGATTTTCTATTTGTCTAATTTTTTGCAATAATGATCTTTTAATGAACACTTAAAAAATAGACACAGTATATCTAGCACCAAATATATTTATATACATATTATATACATATATATATATATATATCCACACCATATATTTAGCGCAAAAGTAAATCCACTTAGACTTACAACTGCAAAGAGAAGATTTTCCAAATTGGGCGTTATCTTGAGCATGTTCGTCAGTGATTTCCATGAGCAGCATTCTAAGTGATTTAGCTCCAACTGGTTCAAATGATTGAATGTTGGCAAAGAACATTGATATTCTATGTAAGTATCCTGCACGGAACAAAAAGTATATTAGCTAGGTCATTTACCTCAGAAATTAAATATTTCGTCAGCATAATATACACGATATCAATACAATATAATGCTATTTGAACGACATTTATTGACCACCTTTCTAATGAAGGTAGGCTCCATCTGTATTATAGAGAGGTGATCAACAATATGGTCAATAAATATGGTACGAATAACAACATTCAAACAACATTAACACTGATAAATTCTAGCAATTGAAAAGGCAACATATCAGTAAGAGAACAAGTTGAGTACGCTTACCCCCAAAACTGGAACTACAAGTGACAGATGTTTAACATTGCTGATTTCTGCAAAAAGCCTCTGCACACGATCAACATCAGCAAGGACATCGGCAGGGTGGCCTTCATCCTCCTCACGCATTACACTGAAATCAATCTTGGCGTTGGTCAAGGATTTTGCACCCTTCAAACAATAGCTCGCCAAGAAGTTCTCCGTGAGATCCAAGTCTTCAAGACTTGGAACATCCGCGTTAACAAAAATCTTGTTCTCCCCTAGTGTCATAGCATGAGCAAACAAATATATTTTTAGTCTTTTTAGTTTTGGTGCGGAGATCGTTACATTCAAAACTTGATTCTCTTCAAGCCATCCAAGATCTCCATCTACAACCAAATCTTCGAGAGCAGGGCAGCAGGAAAAGAGCTTCTCGATTTGCTCGACATATTTTGGAAAATCGAATGTAATGTGGAGGGACTTGAGCCTTGGGAAACAGTTTGATGTGGGAGGAGCAACGGCAGTAACATGCTCTCCCAGACTCAGCTTCAAAGTCTCCAAAGTCTTGCACACGAAAAGATCTTGAGGCAACACAAGAAATTCGTGTGAATCGTCCCTCTCATCAAACTCAAGATGGAGCTCAACAACATTACGCCTTAGGGCAGTGCAAATCCATCCATTGATACGACCAACTATGCCGTCGAGATCGACACAGCAAAGA